TTCCTGATGTAATGATATACTTAGATGTGCAGAAAAGAGCGGAAGCATATTGCTGTCCGTCTTCTAAAGCTTCGAGTTTAAATGGATCTCCAACAATTTTACCTGTCTGTGGATTTACGATGATAATTCTGCCATCACGTGTGGCAACAATGCACTCATCCTTTGGTGACCATGTCAAAGCTGTAACTGGAGAATCAATTTCTGCAATAACTTCAACAAAAGCATATTGTTCTTTGCAACCTTGTAGAGTATAGAATCTGAGATGTGGTTCTGGATCATCTTGTAATTCTGGTGGTAATTCAGGAAGTACTAAGTTATCATCTCCATAAACTGCGATAAGTCGAGGATGCATTGGGCAAACGCTGATATTTTGACCAATTGGTGAATTGAAAGTCTTGTTTGTAACTTCAACTTTATTCTGCCAGTCAAAAGCAGATAAACGGAATGTTGGAAGTCCACCAAGTGAATAAAGCCACTGTCCATCGTAAGAGAAATCTAATGACTTAACACCGAAAGTTCCTTGGACTGATACTGTTCCAGTTTCTTTGCCGTTAATATCTACGAAATGAATAAGTGGATTTTGAATTTGATCTGCGTATGCAAGAGTTTGTAATAGTGGCGTTCCTACCATAGCAGAAAAGCCTGTTAATTCGCCTGATATTGAACTGAGAATTTCAATTGCGCGATCTTTAAATTGGCAAATCTGCAAGAAATTTCCGCATCTAATTGTAAACATGTTATCTCCAATAAAGGATATTCCAAACGAGGCGTCAAAGCCCATTGACTCATCGTGAATAATCGAAATATCGCTCATTAGATGAATAACGTATTTTCAATTATTTACGTTTGTAATATTTGAAAAAAGAAAAAAAAAGCTGGAACAAAAAATCATTTATCATAAAAGAGAGAGCATCTTTTCCAAGCTTGGACATGTGTTCTCAATATTACTTTCATTCAGCGTCGTTATTAGATCTTTCAAATATTCTAACAATTGAACGCAGTAGGTAGACAAGCCATTCTTTTCTAACTGATTTCTTTGATAGAACCAAAAATTATACGCCCTATAACAAAAGGAAAAAAATGGTATCTGATAAGATTAAATACTATTCCTATCTAAACTTTATAATTAAATTCAGTGATTTTGTATGTTACTTTGGTGTTGATAATGATAGAATCATATTTTACAGCTGAATTGAATAAAGTTAAAACTATCAATAGGAAATATGTTCAATTCTTACTATAATTACTAATACATCATTTAGTAAGAAAGCAATTTGGACTGTAGTTTCAATTGCTTATGATATCTTGATTTAATTCAATACCATTCTAATTATCCATCTCCTCTTAAAGAACAAAACTATGGTTGACTAGTCTAGCATATTAAGCAGATATGATCTTTTAGTTGCTATAAAAAGTAATGAAAAATAATTATGATTAGCAAATAAATAGTGAAATCTTAACATCAATAAGGTATTCCATCAATAAGTACCTTTATGGTAAATCATAATGAATTTCACACATTCTGATCAAGAATCGGTCTTTCATTTTTTGCTTTTCTAAATTAATACGGATATTTAAATTTGATTTTATATGAAGGGACATTTATGATCATGTAAAAAACGTATATTCAAATCCGCCGATTAATGTCAGATTGTCAGATAACTATTTTTTGAAAGCTTTTTTCAATTGTAAATGATCGTATTTATCAATTTTTTGTTTAATATTTGTCATTATGAAATATTAGTTAATCATGATCTCAAACACAAATATTTTTGTTAGAATACTTCAAACCAAATCAAGAATTAAACAAAAACGCTTTAGAATCAATAGACTATAAGGTTCTAATAGCTTGGCCTTACTGAAGATTCCAATTATGATTGTAAAGAATTCTTTATGACAAAAGTAATAGAATAATATTCATATCTAACTCGTAATAAGTGCTAGATTAATCCTCGATATTTAAAATCAGACAAATTTGGCCAGCTTTAAAATATTAAGGCTTGAACTTAAGAATTTTAAATTCATTCAATTAGCTTTCATCCTCAGAATTGATTTACTTTCTCCTTTGTTTAGGCTTTAGCATTGGTTCTCTTGGATATAAAGATGGTTCTAATCAAACTCTTAACAGTTGCTCTTCAAGCTTAAGTGGTGAGGTTTTAATTCCAAGTAGTGTTGTAGAAATTTACAGCAAGGATGAATACAGTTATGCTTTTTTAAATTGTAAATCTAAAATCACATCCCTTAGATTTGAAGAGAAAAGCAAAATTGTCAATATTAGTAGCTGGAGTTTTTATGAAACTGGTATTTTATCTGCAAATTTGAGCGAATGCACCGAACTTACATTTCTTAGCTCGTTTGCTTTCTACCAGTGTCGATCTTTAAATTTAGTAATTTTACCTTCTAATATATCAAGCATTGGAATTTTTTGCTTTTCTAGTAATAAAAATCTAAAAACATTCGATTTGCCAGATTCTGTTATTACTATTTATTCTGGAGCATTTTCATATAGTGGTTTAGCCGCTATCAATATATCGCCATTTTCTAAATTAGAAACTATAGAAGCTAGAACTTTCGATAGCACAAAAATTTCTTCAATATATATTCCTAAATTTGTAATGTCGATTGACCCTTTGGCTTTTACTAACTGTCCATTAGAAAACATATCTGTTCATTCGGAAAATACTTATTTTCAAACTGATTCTAAATCAATTTTCTCAGGAGAAAATAATTCGACATTATTAAGAGTTATCGAAACATTTCCTGAAAGTGAATACACTGTATGCAATTGTGTTTCGTCGATTTCTGATTACTGCTTTTTTCAATGCGTAAATATTTCATCAATTAGGATCAACTCCGATATCACATCTATTGGAAAGTGTGTTTTTAAGTACTGTACTTCATTAACTAGAGTTGAATTGTCAAAAAAATTAACCGAAATAGGTGATGAAGCATTTTATGGGTGAGTAGGTGACAAAAGTGCATACTCTTAAACAACCGTCGGATTTCCGGGTGAAATCGTGACACACTTTCGTCTTTCGTAGGCAGTGGTGGTTGTTACAAAAGGTAACTTCGAATGTAGCGTGAAATCTGCAAAAAAAAATTCTGAAATTTGAATGGAGAACACAAAAATTGAATAGTTTACGTCAATAAAAAGGAGAAAAATGAAGACAATGTGTCTCGAACCTAGGACTTAGAGCAGCAATCCCACTGTTTATCAAATTACACTACATGCATCTCTCACCTCAGTGAATGAGATCAACTATATGATAACTTTTTCCCCATTATATTCTTGTGGAAAAGTGACAAATAGCAACTTTGACCCTCTCTCTTTTATGGGTGCTATAAATTGACTAGTCTCACCATATCGGAAAACGCTGCATCACCTAACTTTAAAAAGTTACAGCAAAACGAAAATCTAAATATAATTGATATTACTGTAACACGAATCAGTTATAAAATATTTGCATATTGTTCATCTTTAACAAATATTGAAATCGGACAAAGTATAACGGAAATTGGAGATGAAGCATTTTGCGAATGTAAATCGCTATCTAGTATAACTATTCAAGGAAATGATATGAGATTTGGGAATTCAGTATTTCAGTTATGTATATCATTAATTAATATTATTATTAAGGGAAAGATTGTAGAGATTGGATTTGCTGCATTTTATTTTTGCGAATCTATAAAAAGTATAATAATAAAAGGAAATATTTCAATTATCAATGCCTATACATTTTGTAATTGTTTTTCGTTAGAATATATTTCACTCCCGGAAAATGTAATATGTATCTATATGGTTGCATTTTCATCATGCATATCATTAACAAATTTTATTTTTCCAAAGCAATTAACAACTGTTGAATTGGATGCATTTTTTAATTGTACATCATTGACTAGGATAACATTTCCAGAAAATGTAAAAGTAATTGGAGCTGGGGTATTTAGGTCATGCACAAATTTGAAAAGTATTACTTTTGATAGTAATTCCAATAACATATCTATTGATGGTAATCCATTTTATATGATTTCAGATCAAGTGAATATTTTTATTCCAGGAACCTTCAATATTTCTAGAACCTATCCAGGTATATTTCCAGAAAAAAGTCATTTATATATAACAAATAAAACAATTTTATTAGATTTATCCAAAACACTCTTTGGTGAGAAGACAATGATTGTTCACTACGTAGATATGACTAGAATCTCAGATGAAAAAACAGATGACGTAATTCGTTACATTGCACTTGAAATCAAATATCCAAAAACAATGCAAAATGTTGCCTATGATAAATCAAAGTATTTATTTGTAATGAATGTCTTAATTTCTGTTTACAGACGTAATAAATTCTGAGAAACTCATATTTTTAGGCTATTTTTTATTTGCCTTTTCAATGAAATTGAAAGAACTTCTGAATATATCACATCAAAATATTATGAAGAAAAATAAACATATATTTTTTACATTTGGATATAGTTTTCATGACTTAAAACGAGAGGAGCGAAGGTATTCAATGAATAAGAAAAATCATTTATAAAATAAATGTTATATCATTCGCAATATTATATCTTCTCTTTTTCATACTGCCTGGAAGAAAGAATCGAAAGAAAGCGGCTCCACCGCCTGAGTACTAATAACTACAAATTATATTTATATTTATAACTTTTTATTTAGTGGAAAATCAAAAATTTCACTATCGCTTGGTTGTCATGAAAAATTACCACCAGGTTCCAAACGGAGTGGCTTATAAAGAAAAATAATATTTACTTAATTATTGTTAATATTTATAATAAATAGGACTTGAATATGATATAATATTATATATACCATTTTAAAAGAAATTTTGATTAGAAAATATCCATCAACTATATGTTATTGCTCTAATTACACTAATTTTGGACTGTTTTTTGATCATAAATTTTTTGGTCGCATAGAGATGTTTTGGTCACTCGTTTTTTCATCTCTTGCTTGGAGAGAACCAGAGGGTATACCTCTTGAAATGTATAGTCCTGCTACATATGCCTCCAAAATTGACGGAATGTCACCATTATTAATTGTTGCTGCATGCCATGTTCCAGGATTTGCTCGTAGTTTATCTGTCCATGTTGATACATTCCAAAATGCTGCTCAATATGTTGCAGCATATCAAGGATTTTATGTTGATTATGGAATTTTATACGAAGAGTCTGAGAGCGAAGAAGTTTATGTTACTATCCACTCTCCAAATATCACAGATGTACCATTACCTATCACAGAAAACACACTTCCAAAGATTCTTGCCTTTGAAATGCTTCAACAAATCTACAATAACTACAAGACAATTAAAAAGCGGTTCTCTGATGAGCAGAATCCAGAGATAGTTAAGATTTACGACCAAATTAAATTACAAGAAAAATTAATTCGTACAGCAGTAGATAAAGCAGATGCCAGAATGAATCAAGCAAAGAAGGAGGAGCTTATGGAGAAGCTCAAAGGATTCATTCCACCAGACAAATTAGAAAGAAATCGTCTTCGCTCTGATATCAAAGCCTGCATCAACCAAACGGAGAAGGCCGAGCTTGAAGCCAAGCTTGAAGAGCTAAAGGCCAAAAAAGATAAGACAAATTATACAAGATTAGATGTAGTTACAAAAGCAGCTCACGATGCGGCCAAAGAGATCGCAAAGTTTGCTGCTGAGTTAGACCGTGAGAAAGAACTCAAGGAACTCAAGAACTACAGAGAAGAAATGATGAGAATGCAAGAAGAAAACGATTATGGCGAAGAAGAAGACTCAATGAGCCAAATCTATCAAGCAGCCGCTCAAGTTGCTGATAATGAAAAGGATAGAGCTGAATATGCCGATAAAGCCGATAAATTTGGTAAATTAAAGAAATTAAAACTTGAACACAAGGCAAACATGACTCGTGAGCGCAAGGAGAAGCTTAGAAAGGAGAAAATTGCTAAAAGAAGAGCAGAACTCGGTGAAGGTGACAACATTCAGATCCCAGATGAAGAATTATTATCTGATAGTGAAGTTGACGATGCAGATTTCAATGAAACAGAAGTTGAAGCTACTGTTACAGAAGATACATCATTAAACAATCACGAAGATGTCGAATTTGAAGAAAAGAAGCCAAAAGTAACTAAATCTGCAGAAGAAAAGCCAAAAGAAGAGGAAAAACCTAAAGAAGAAGAAAAGCCTAAAGAAGAGGAACAGAAGCCTAAGGAACAAGAAAAACCAAAGGCTGAAGAGCCACAAAAAGTTGATGAAAAAGTGGAAGAAAAACCAAAGGAAGAAACGACAACGGCTGATAGTAGTATGAAACAAGAATTATAAAAATCTTTGTAATTACAAATATTTTAACTTTTTTTACTTCAAATTTTTTAAATTATTCCTTGAAAAAACAAATTATGCAAGCTTTATTATTATAAAATGTAATATAAACAATCTATTTAGTAAACAATATCGAAATGATTACGTAAAATATGTTGGTTGTTGATAGAGTTTATGGTCTTTCTGAATCGAACAAATTTACAAGAGCTTCGAGTTGAGGAGATGGTTTGGTTGGGAATGTTGACCATGAGCAAATAGGTCTTGCTAAATCAGGGCTGTTCCATGGGATAATTGGATCTTTCTCACTGTTTCGAATCATTGAAGAAGATCCGGAGTCCTCGCTTAAAATAGCTTGGACACCAACTTCTGTCAATTTGTTATCAAAGTCATCAATTCGTTTATTTCCGCTTATTATTTTTCCCATCATTTGAAAAAAAAAACAATGCAAAAAAGTGACAAATAGAACGAAATTACGCTATATTGCTTGGTTTTTTTATTCATTTTCCCTTTCCCTTCAGAATTTATAGCAAAATGATCATATCATTTCGATAATGATCAGAATTCCATATTGGTCAATTGAAAGTATCTCTTAATTGCTTCTAAATTGTCTATGAATTTTCTTTTTTTTATAATTTGGAGAATAGAAAAGAAATATATAGTATGTATTTGAGCTCAACTTTTAATCATTAAAACACTGATGATGATATGAAAATGTGGGGACTAATTCTTGAGCAAATTCAATTTAATTCATTAAAAGAGTAATTTAATTAACAAAATAGTATCATGCTCAATAACATGTACTCCATTAAATGATAAATAAATGAAAGTGAACTGGTATTAAAAATTGAATTGGCGTTTTGACTTAGAATTTATTTCCGATTAATAATGGCATACATTCAGAATTATGCATGTAAAAATTAAAGTATTCAAAAAATTGTAAAGCAAATCAATTTGAATGGGAGGGCAATGCTTTGAAATTTTTGTTTGCCAAACTGAATATGGTAAACGCATCATTTTATAAAAGAGGCGAGCAACCAAATGTGCGACGAGTATTTAGAGCAATACAATGACTTCATTTCAACATATGAGAGGATCTATAACTTAGAATCCAATGAACCAAATGAAGAAATTTTAATTATGATATCAGACATTTTAGTTAAAAAGTACGAGGTTCCCATTCGCGGTATTATATTAAGCATCATCAATGCAATCAAATACAATTTTCTTTCAGCCCAAAATTATATTGATATTCTCAACTTCATTTTCACTAATTATTCATTGCACACATCATTGTTAAAAAACTATTGTCAATCCAAGTATATTAAATGGACATCAAATTATGACGAGATCGGGCATTTAGAATATGTACCAAAATTGGATGAAAACGATAGTTACATTGAAAATATAATCATCCATGATCAAATTGGTGATTTCAGAGAATATGTTTCAGATCACTCAATAGAAAAATTAGCATTTGATATTCCTGAAGAAAAAAATGACACTTATACGAACTCAAACCAAAAATTATCAGTTATCGAAGCATGCGCTTATTATGGTTCTGTAAATATTTTTTATTTCCTTCTTTCAGCTCTGAATTGCGAAATAACAGAAAAATGTTTATCATATGCGATAATTGGTAGAAATACAGATATTATCAATGAATGTTTAAAGAAATATTCAGTAGATGATAGATGTATTTTTAATGCAATTGTTTTCCAAAATAATCAATTCCTTGAATATATATCACGATTAAATCCTTCCATCTTTGATAATCTTGATTTCAATGGCACAGATGCAGAACAATTTGTCAAATCACATAATTTGAAAGCTATCTTTCTATTATTTGAGAAAAATAACAAATTAATATTTCCATGGTATGCAGCATTTCCGCAAGCAAACAAGATTATTTTTAATCATTGGATTGATATTAATATATGTGACTCAAAAGATGGAAATTTACTTCACTATGCATCAATGTATAATAATTCCGAATTATGTTATTATGTATTGCGTCATCCATGTTTCAATCGTGAGTTAATTAATTCAAAGGAAGATAATGAAGATAAAACTCCTATTCATTATGCTATAGAAAATAATAGTATTGAAGTGGTAAAGCTTCTTTTGACATATAATGCCGATATTGAATTAATTGATAAAAATTTTAAAAAGCCAATTCATTATTCAGCAGAAAATAATTGTAAAGAGATAACAGAATTTCTTCTCACTTATGGTGCAAAACCCAACGTTAAAGATGAAAACATGCAAACACCTCTTTATTATGCTTTAATGCATAATTGCATTGAAATAGTTGAACTACTTGTTAATAATGGTGCGAATATCAATGATAATGATGCTTTGGGACAAACTCCACTTCATTATGCAGCAAGATTAAATCGCAAAGAAGTTATTGAAGTTCTTAAGTCAAATAATGCTGACATTCATGCAAAAGATTATGATGGAAAAACAGCTATTCATCATGCAGTTCTAGGAAATAATATAGAAATTGTAAGCCTCCTAATCTCATACGGTGCAAATGTTAAGGGTGCACACGAGAGGATCATGTAAACTTCAGAATTTAGAACCTTATTTTTAGGCATTATCTTGGCTACCTATTTAGGCTCGAAAAGCAAAAAATATCAAAAAATACAACTTGACTCCATTATGACCCTTTCATGGAGGTAGTTTTTATCCGCTAGTATTTTCCCTTTGAATCTCTTTACAATTCGAAATCAAATTCAAACCTCAGTAGAAGAAAGGAAGAATCGACTTACTACGGTTGTAATACGAATAAATACATATATTTAATTATTTTTATTTACATAATAATTGTTTGAAGCTCATATTCCATCAAATTTTTAAATAAAAACATTAAAATGTTGAAAATGTTCATATATTTTAATAGGGTTTTGGCACTTTATTGAGGAATTACTACATACATAGTCGAACTGAACTTGATATTTTGAAATTTAAATTATTTATCAAAATTAAAATTTAACTTGAAATTTATAATTATTTAGTCATATTTTGCATAATTCTAAGTAGATTTTGTAAAAAATCAAGAAAGAAAAATTTTAACGTGCTTTATTTTTTCTTTTTTATAATAATACATATTATTATATAATTAACATATTCATAATGTTTCACCCTTTCAAAAATATAATCCTCCTCCTCTCAAATAAACGTACATACGGGTGGCCTCTTTTTTCAAAAAATTGAGAAAGGGACAGACTAGCCCATTGTCACTTTTTAATTTAGCAAATGAACGCTTATGGAGTGAGTTAGTATGACTATCTTGGGTACGGCGGCACTGCGTTCCACCTTACCCAATATAACCTTAAATATTTACAAAACCAGTAACGTATATTTTACAACACAAACGACAACACTAACTTAACATTAAATATTTACAAAGCCGCCAACCACTTCACCTCACTAACGTTTTCACAAACGACTTCACTAATGTAAAAAATAAACGTTCTCACTTACAAAAGTATTGCAACTCCTCCCATTGCTGTGCTTCACATAACAGCTCATAATCTTCTGACTCACTTTCTTCTTCATATAGGTCAAAGTCACTGTCAAAATAAATGTTAGTAAGTTTTGACAAAGCTAATGAAACACGCTTACCGTTTGTATCTATTGCTTTATATATCTCCCATTATGTTTGTTGTCATAAACGCTCAAACTAACTTTACCCTTTCTCCCTCGTATCTGATAGAATGTATTTTCACGAGGAACGAAGAACAAATTCTTGAACTCATGACCGTTGTAGTTTGTTATCTCAATAGTTTTCGTCATTTACATCCAAATAAAATAAAAAATAAAATAAAAAATAAACTTAAAAATTAATGATATCACCACCCTCACACGTATGAAAACATAGCACAAAAATAAATTTAGGTGAAGCGGTGAGATCTCACCTCTTTTTTCACCTGTTTTTTCACCCTAGCCGCAAAGCGGCTCTGACCCTTTGGGTCTGTTGAATTCATTGCTTTATAACTCTCTTCCTTTCTCCAACTCTTCTAACTTCTTCCTAAGTTCAGCAATGTTGTCCTCATGAAGTTTAATCTTTCTCAAAATTCCTTCTTTATCTAATGGTTGCTTTATCTTTCTAAACTGAACTCTACCATCCTTCATAGTATGAATGTAAAAACCTTCTGGAATAGTTCCTGATTTAATGTATTCTACCAAAAACTTTTGTTTCATTGCTTCAGTGACTTTATTTGTCATTTCAATCAAATAAAAATTTTAATATTAAATAAAAATAACGTTATTTTTTCAGTAAGGAAACGCAGGAGTTTTACGATTTATTTGAGGAGTAGGTTCTGGTTTAAATGTTGGAGTCGGTTTAGGAGTTGACTTTTGAACAGGAGTTTGTACTTCCATAGGTTCAGGAGTCATTGAAGGTTTTGCTTGTGAAGGCGTTGGTTTTGGCGAAGGTGTCGGAGTTTGTTTAACTTCAGCTACTTCAGTATTATTTACAACATTTGCTTTATTTCTTTTCAACATCATTACTGCTCCTGCTGTAGCTAGCAAACCTAGTGGGAGACCATATTTTATATAAGGACTTGACCAAATGCTATTTTTGGCAGGAGCTGGTGGAACACCTAACCTTGGTGAAACTCTTTGCCATTGTGCAGCTCGTAAGAAATATTCAATAGGTGCTCCATAATCGTTTGGTAAAGTTTGTTTCATAGATGGTGAAGGTTCACGAGAGCTTGATGAAGAACTCATTTATAAGCTTTAAAAATAAACGTTCATCCTTTATTCCTCACTGTCGTCCGTAGCTAAGTTATAGTCGTCAAGTCTTATTATGGGGATTCCATTAGCACGCACCTGAATGGCAAAGCAACAATCCCTCATAAATCCAATAAGTGGCTTTGGTACATTTTCAGTTGCTAGTTCAATAGGTCCTTTAACAGACAATTTGTATGTTATTGGAGCAGTAGATGTTTGACCTTGCTGGAAGCAAAAGTCCACTTCTGTTGGAAAACCACATAAGAAATGTGTGTTGTCATAACTATCCCATTTATGTTCCACACTACCATCATCCACCAATGACCTCATAACATCTTCATTAAATCCTATCATATCATTGTTTGTATTGCAAGCGTTCGCAACCATTTCATAAAATACAGGTCCATATGATTTTTCGGGTTCTGCAGGCATATTTCCATAAGCTCCCATGGAAAGCTGAAGATATTTAAACTTAGGGTTCTCAAAATTAACATAATAGTTGTCTTTCTTTCTAAATAGTGCCCAAATACTTTTAACATTAATAGGCGTATAAGCTGCTGTAAATGTTGCACTTGAACTATCTGTATTCTTTGAGAATGAACCGTCCATAGGAATCCAATCCATAACTTTAACAGGAAAACATAAAGCCTCGTTTGTATAATGTTCTACAAGTTCTGTATAAATGTTAGG